GTAAGGCATCCAGTTCCGCTTGTATCATTTTCAAGTGGTTCAAACTTTGATTTTTCTATTAACTCTAACTGGGACATCACTCTACCAAAAAGTTCAATGTTTGGTCCTTTTGATAAAAAAAATGTATCAAACACTGCATTTGCACAGATTTCAAGAATATGATGTCAACAGGCTAAAAACAAAACTCTTCGGTTCATTGACTTCTGTATGACAGTTATTGCCCCATTATAACTTCCTGTATTACTTGCAGTCGTGTCAAAGCAAAGACCTGCAAGATGCTCCTCTATGCCAAGCCATTCATGAATGAACTCAACTATCTTCTGTCCCATCAGAGCACCAGCAGGTATCTCAGGGATCCCTAGTAATTTCTCAATATCCAAGCCAGATACAACAGTTGGCAGACATTTATGTCTGGTTCTATCAACATATGACAACATTTTACCATCAAAATGAGCAACTAGCGGAACCAAGGGTTGAAAATCTTTTCTTACTGCTGTTGAAATAGATTTCGCAAGATGTAGTTCGAGCTTCTATTAGAGTGGAATGTAATAATGTTAATTTATTTACATCAATACCGATTGCAGCTAGAGCTGGTGTGACAACCATCATTGCTTGTTGTGGTGTTATTTTTGTTTGGTCTAATGCTGCATGAAAGAGTTGATTGTCAAGAATACAACGTTTGGATACTGTAATTGAGAGTTGACTAGTTCCCATAGTAGAATGTTTTGAAATTTTTCGATGATTAAAAACTTTTTGTATTTGAATTGATGCATCACAGTCAGAATTTTCATCCAAAGAGTAATCTGAATTGTCATTCATTAATGTTTCTGTAGATTTAACTTTACTTTCTTTATGTTGTTCATAGTGTCTTTTTTCTTCAAGCTTGTGTTTTCTGTATTTTACAATTGCTTTCTTATACATTAAGTCTTCCGATGTCATTAACATCTTTCTGGGGCCTCTCTGGTCTATTAGAAATTGTTTATCTTCATTTATCTTGATGAGACAATCCCATTTACTATGAGCAATATCAAAAAGAGTAGACATATTGATGGTGAATTTTTCTTCATAGCTGTGTTGAGTAGCTGATTTTCTACTTCTGTGCTTAGACACTTGAACATATTGCTTGTGAATACTCTTTAGTTTAGCAACTACATGAGGCTATGCATATAATATCTGCATACTATGCATATAATCTCTTCTTTACCAGCTAACTTTACAATATTTATGTTAAAAACATGTTTTGTTGTGCTGTACTATATGTGCATTATAATGGCGAATTTTCTTAAAAAATTTGTTAAGAGTTGAACTTTTTAAAATGAAAGTTTAATAATAATATTTCATTTGAAAATATGTACAAAATATAGTCATAAAATGTGCATTAATTTCAAATAATTATAATCCGTGTTTCTAATTGTTTATGTGACCAATAAAAGACCTTTCAGCGTGTTTTTCATTAAAATATTCTTTTTTGTAAAATGGTGAGATTATTCATAAAATAAACACTTTTATTAAAATAATAAAGAAATATCATTAATTATGTCATTGAATTTCAAAGCTTGTTTCATTTATTATGCATGAAGTAAAGTAATACCTTGAGTGTTCAATAACTGTACTATATAAATGTACATATACATACATATATAACTGTACTATATACATGTACATATACATATATATATGTATATACCCATATATATGTGTATGTATTAACTTATTACAAGAAGACTTCATGAACAAGTATGTTAAATTAGGAAGAGTGCACTAAAATGCTCTTTTTTTTTGTCAACAAATCTGCAAAATGCTTTTCATATTTTTTTGCATGTTTTTATCTTATTACTTTACTCTGAAAAAAGAGTCTATATAAAATAGCTGTTTATTTTATGGTGTTTGAAGTGTGGTTCTCCTAAATTATTTAGGATTTCAAATTTGTCAAAATAATATCAATAAGGGAGTGCTTGTTTGGTCATGCTTATGGTCACAATGAAAGTACTCAATCTTGATCTGCTAAACAAGTTTGTGTAATGATAGCAAAAAGTTGCTTCAACTCCTTCATAATGCCATATATTAAAAAAACAAAATACTAAAAGAGTGATAGAAAACTCTTCAATCCATGCAGATGTGTATGGACATTAAAACAGTGAAAAAAATAAATAAAATAAATCAGTAAAATATTAATTATTTAATTCTGGAAATTTTGATAAAGTCCTTTAATGAAAAATTCCATTTGAAAAATTCCATTTGAAGCATGATTAATTTAACTACTGGTAAAATACATTAAGTTTACAATAAACTTGAGGTATCATATATTAAATAATACCAGTGACATTGTCTTTAAACTTGATGTCAAATCTTGGGCAGTTTTATGAATCTCTAATCTTAATGTTGTTTTGGTTTTAAGATTTATTTCTTGATTTTGTCTTCATCATTATCATTATTTTTTGCAAAATGAATGCAATAATAGAAAGAAAAAAAGAGTATATATATATATATATATATATATATATATATATATATATATATATATATATATATATATATATATATATATATATATATATATATATATATATATATATATATATATATATATATATATATATATATATATATATATATATATATATACCAGGTTGTTAATAAGTTTTGCCGTTAGATAAGAAAAACACAATTTTATTGTTTGGAATTCAGTTTCTTACTCAATATAATCTTTCTAAACTTTAATAATCTTGTTCCAGTGATCTTTAAATTTTTCCATCCCTCAATTGAGAATCCAGAAGATTGTCAAAATAGGCTTCCATGACTGCTATTACCTCTTCGTTCAATGAAAATCGTTTTCAATAGACAAGTTTTTGTTGTAAGAACAGCCAGAAGTTAGATGTAGCCAAATCTGGCGAATAGGGTGGATGTTGTAATATATTTTGATGAAATATGTTTTTTTTCTTTTGTAAACTTGCTCTTTTCTCACAAATTTTCACATCCAAAAGGATGAAAACAATAATAATCTGAGTTTATTGTTTTATCAGTTTGTTTCAGAATCCACAAACAAAATTCCTTTTGCATCACAAAATACTGATGCTAACACCTTCTTGACCAATTTCTAAACCCTAACTTGCTTTGGAGGTGAAGTACCAGATTCACATCACTCCTAAGACTCTTGTTTTGATTCAGGATCATGATAGTAGACCCAAGTCTCTTAGTGATAAAATGATGCACAAAATCCTTTTTATTCTTTTTAAAATGCTCTAAATGTTGCTGAGAAAGTCACATTTAAATGTGTTTTTGTTCCATTATTAGCAAATGTGGCACCCATTGTGCACACAGCTTTTTAAAACCCAAAAACTTCAGTCAAAATATTGTTCACACTACCTAATAAGATGCTTCTACTCAATCTCTCTTGGTTAATCAACAATCTTCCAAAATCATATCCTGTATTTTTGCTTCAATTTCTGGTGTTGGTTGCACATTTTTAACATCCTTCTTGTGGATCATCTTCAAGACTTATACGACCATGTTTAAATTTAGCAACACATCTTTCTACTGCTTTAATTGAAGGTGAAGAGTCTTTATACACTTTTAATAATCGTTCATGAATTTGTTTTGGTGTTACACCTTCTAAAAATAAGAATTTTATTACTGCACAATATTCAATTTTTTCTATTGTAAAAAAATACTGTTATACATTATCACCTGTCTATATAAAAATAAGTTAACAGATCTATGTGATATTTCACCTGTATAAAAAGTTAACAGATCTATGTGATATTCCACGCATGTATAATAAGTTAACAGATCTATGTCACACACGTTTATAACAGTTTTAGAAAAATAAATGACATAATAGCACCATCTCTTATCAAACAGCAAAACTTATCGAATAACCTGGTATAATATATGCATATATATATGTATATATATATATATATATATATATATATATATATATATATATATATATATATATATATATATATATATATATATATATATATATATATATATATGTATATATATACATATATATATACATATATATATATATATACATATATATATATATATATATATATATATATATATATATATGTATATATATATATATATATACACATATATATATGTATATATATACATATATATGTATATATATATATATATATATATATATATATATATATATACATATATATATATATATATATATATATATATATAAATATAAATATATATATATATATATATATATATATATATATATATATATATATATATATATATATATACATATATGTATATATATATATATATATATATATATATATATATATATATTTATATATATATATATATATATTTATATAAAGTATAATTAAATAGAAAAATATAACTTTATAATGGAGCTAAAAGTTTCATGCCTATCGGCAATCTTCAGCCATATATATTATACAAATCAAATTTCAAACAGCCATATATATTACAAATCAAAGTTGATTTGTATAATATATATGGCTGAAGATTGTCGGTAGGCATGAAACTTTTAGTTCCATTATAAAGTTGTATTTTTCTATTTAATTATACTTTATATATATATATATTGATCTATTTTGTAAAAATTATTTTTATTTTTACATTATATTGATCACTCTTAAGTAAACAAGAGGATTTGTATCTCAATCAGATACAAAAATAAACAACAATATATATATATATATATATATATATATATATATATATATAAACATGTATATATATATATATATATATATATATATATATATATATATATACATATATATATATATATATATATATATATATATATACATATATATATATATATATATATAAACATGTATATATATATATATATATATATATATATATATATATATATATATATATATATATATATATATATATATATATACACATATATATAAACATACATATTGTATATATAGCTTTTTTATCAGATCTAAATCTATTTTCAAAAATTTTTTTAGTATTCAATGAATGCCTTATTTTTTGTTCAAAGAAAAGTAATGATGATGATGACGATAAAAGTAATGGATTTTGTAAACAAATAAATGGTAACTATAAGTGCACTTGCAGTATTGGATATTTTTTTAACTATACATCTGCTAAGTGCCAAGGTATACCTTTTTATAAAAATTCTGTCATAAGTTAAACTTTTTTTTGAGAATATAGCTTGATTTTTGTTGCCATTACTTTTTTTTTAATGTTAATTCACTTAAGGCCACTACAGGCGAGCAGGCTTCTTAATTGTGATTATAACCCTCTCTTAACTCTATACATCGAAAACATAAACCTTGTTGAAGAAAGCTACTGTGCTAAGAAACAAATTGAGTGCAGTACTACCAGGAATGTGGTGGGGATCAAACTAAGAACCTCTCACTTATGAAGAAAGTGGTCTACCACAATCACAACTACTGGATAAATTAATAAGTCTTGATAGAGTTTACCTGTTTATATTAAAGTATTAATTCAAGGTCAAGGATGGACTGTTTTAGTCTACTGCAATATTTTGTTATGGGTCCTTAACATGTGACAATCATCAGACTTTAAGTGGAAGTCAACAGCATGTTGAAACTTTTTAAAACTTCAATACCGAGTTAGTTAAATTATTTTGTATAAAATTTCTTTTTTTTTAATCTGGAACTTGCTGCTGCTGTTTATCTTGTATTTGGTTAAAAATATGAAAATATTTGAGAAATTGCAATGCTGAACTGTGTGTCTTGTATCTGAAATTAAAATATCAATTTATGAAACAAGTTGCCAAATATTGAATTTAGCTGATTTGAAGATTTGCGTGAAGATAAGATTTAAAAAACTAGAGTTTTAATAAAACTTACAAAGGTTTTTCTAAGCACCTTATTACCTAAATTGGACATAGCTGTAAGTTTTTAATTAATAATAAATGAAAATTTTTGTTGCTACAGTGAATCAATGACTGATTGGCTTTTTTCAGTTACATGGTTGAAATAATAAACAATACTACTATTATTAATATTAATTAAAAAATGGCTAACTGGCTGAGTTTATTAAATGAAAATTTTAATAAGTATTTTTTATTGTTTAACAAATATGTTTAAACATTAAATCTGTATAAACAGCTCATTAACATTAACACTAACAAAACAGATTTTATAAATCATATTTATATTTATTTTCAGATTTTATAAATATTATTTATTAACAATTTTGTACAAAATAATAAAACAGAATTTTGTTTTGAAAATATTACAAAACATCTTTTGCATTAGTTATTATCCTTTGATTAGGATATCCTCTCTTCCAACTGTGAAAACATTTTCAGATGCTCGGATAACATTTTTACTAGTTGTTTGATGGCTTGAATGTATGACTAGTTCATTGATTTGCAAAATTTTCATTATCTTTAGTTTACATAACAATTCACATAACAATTCAAGAATAATTTGAAAGTTTTTTCACATTTTTACCTTGGAAGGATTTTTATTTTAAATATTATTTGCTTTATCAACAATTTTCTAATGAATTGGAACATAATATCTCCTATTATTTGAACATGCATTATTTTAATTAGAATATTAAAATTGTGCATTGTGGAGCTTCCAATTGAGCATTTGCGTGAGGGTTCAGTCTAGTCATTAGGTTTCAAGCCCTATGACCATATCAAGCAGAATAACCTATTTTCCGTATTGTCATGGTGGAGTAGATTGGTAGAAGTGGTGGCTCACCAGTCACAGAAAAATAATTTTTACTACTACTGCAATACAATGGTCACATACAGGTGAACACCATTATTTTAATTGGTCACCTAAACATGTTCAAATTATAGTAGTTCTATGCATTAAACATGAAACTTTTTAGCAGGATAAAATATTTATGGTAAACAATATTCTTCTATGCTGATTATTTGAATGCATCTATTGCTAAAATTACTTTAGTCAAATTAATCTACTTCTTAATCAACTTCTTAAAAAACAAAACTTTTATAATATCTGATTGTCAATAACTATATAACTGCAATTATAATATGCAATTTTATAAATAAATTTTTGTTGTCCTCGTACTTTTTGTACTTAAAAATACTTATTAATTGTTCTAATTAAATTCCATTAACTTAAGTCATTTACATGGTGCCGAAATTATTGCTACAGTTGCTTTTAGACTAATACCATATTTAAAAATAACCAATTCAATGAGTTTTTTTTATAATGAGTTTACTTTTAGATTAGCAGTCAAATTGATTAAATATTACTGTTATTATTGTTTCAATTTTAACACCATGGTTTTTCCTATGAATGATTTGAGTGGATTACCTACTATGTCGTTTTTAATTCCAATTTGGCATTATGGAATATTTAGATGAACTTTGTTGTAAAAGTTTTGATAAACTTCTATTATGCTTTTTTTATGTTTTCACTCAACTTGACGACAACTTGATTACAAATTGACTAGGAGATGGAAAAACTCAAACACTAAAAAATTCTGCTGACCAAAATTCTGATATAAAACTTCTGCCCTAGTATAATCATATATTTCTAGTGATGGTATTGTGAAAAACAATCTTTTGTTGCTAGTTACCGCAAAATGTAAGAGTAATCAACTTTGTTTTTAATTGTAGAAAAATTTTGTGCAGTTTTCCAGCAAATGCTTCACTCAGATTTTACTTACTGATTTATGAAAATAAAATGAGTGAAATTTGGATCAAAATCAATCAAAAAGTAAAATTGGGAAAAAATTTAGTGCAAATGTTTTTTTTTATAATATAGGAACAATAACATAATTTATCGAGTTATTTATATTAAATTAATTTATTTAAATAATATCAATAAATTAAGAATTTCATCGATGTTGTTGTATTATAAAATTGTTCGTTTTAAAGTTGATGATTTGATTTTGATTTATTTTATAGTTGTTTTTTTCAACAATTTGTTTTTTATAAAATATTTATAATTTTATAGTTGCAAGATTGATTCAAGAAGTTTATTTAAATTTTTCAAGTGAGCATAGCTTACAAAGTTTAAAAAATAGTCTCAGTTACCCACAATTTCCAGACTTTTACAAGATTATTTCAAACTTTAACATCCAAACAAATAATAGTGAAAATTATGGGCAAAGAATTCGCGGCTGGCTCCAAGTTAAGTTATCTGGCAATTATACATTTTATAGTTCCTGTAAAGGTGTTTGTCAGTTCTTCATAAGTACAGATAACGATCCTTTGAAAAAACGGATGCTCATCAATCAGACACAATCAAGTATATGTTGCAACTGGAATCAGTAAATATTTTTTTTATTGTATGCATTTGTTTTAACTATTTACATTTTGTATAAAAATGTTCATCTTTTACTTATAAATTTGTGAAACAATATTTTTTAAATTAGTTTTAAGTTTATAAAATCAAACTTATAAAAAATGTAAGTATATAAATATGAATATATAAAGTCAAGATATTATATAGTAAATAAAGAACCTTTAAGTTTTTATTATATAAGAAATTATGAAATATCTTATGTTGATACTGATCAACTATGCATTGTAATTTGTTTATTATAAATGTATGCATTGTAATTATTTTATAAATTAATGAACCAATTTTTGTTTTTTAGTATTTTTGTTAATGAAAAACTGTTTTAGCATTTTTGTATACTATACAAATTACAAATCACACATCTTGACAATTTCTATATATTTAAAAAAAAAGGCTTAAAAGCTAAACACAAAATATTTTTTAAGCTATTCATTGCATTCCTTTTTGAAATAAATTAAAATGGTATTAATCTTTTTTTTAATAAACTGTTTTATAAATTTGTAATGTGTATGCATCAAACCATTGTTTAATTTATTATTTTTCTTCGATTAACAATTTTTTCCTGGCTTAAAAAGAACTCAAGATGGTTTTAAATAACTTTTAGTCATTATTTATGATTATTTGTACAAAAGTAATGAAAAAAACATCAGTTCAACTTTCTTGTTGAAAAAGGTCACCCACGAACCACAAATTCAAACTTACAGTATGTATGCGTATGGATAAAATTTCAAACAATTTTATTGTTATTTGCATTATTTTTTAATTTTAATTTTTTTAATGGAGAGTTATTATTTTTATTTATTTTTAAGCATTCAACAGTTTATTGCTACATCATAATACTCTAAAATACAAATAAATAAAAAATTACTTTTTTAAAACACTCTAAATTATAAATAAATATAAATTTACAATCTTAAATAATAATTCTACAAGTGCGAAAAGCTACAGCGTATATGAAAAAAATATTTTTCAGTTAAAAAATATTTTTCAGTTTTATTAAAGCGTAATATACAATTCTTATGCTTTGTGATGAATCTGAGCTCGTAGTTATTTTTTTTCTACAGATGTCAAAAAGTTCTTGAAGACACGTTCTGCGCACTGATTTTTTCTGATAATTTCCAATCTTGATGAAAATTCCCGTAGATATTTCCAAACTTTTTCACTGAGTTTAATGCTTTTTTGTGACCGTGCAAGCTGCTACATAGCTTCTAATAATCGTCTGGATTGCATTTGGTTAGTAAACCAATTATCTCATCATCTGTAAGAAATGAATCTACAAATGTTGATTAATGAAGCTCTTCTCTTTGGTAAAAAATAAATGCCAAAAGATTCAGTATTGCTTGGAAATTTTGTATTATTTAATTTTAGTATTTTCTAAAACTTTACTCAAGGAAATACACCCGATTCTTTCAGAAAGCAGAACACCCAAGTTAAATTACTGAAACAACCATCTTGCTGTTTCAGTAATCACTTTTTCACTATTATTGAAATTTTTCCTGAGTTTATCGTAGTCTGTTACAAGTTCTGGGATAAATGGATCTTCAATGGCAACATGTTGTTTCTCCAAGTTCTTCATTCATTACTATGCAAAGGGCTCAAGATGGTCAAGAACATGATGTTGACAACCAATGAATTGTGGTTCTACCAGTTTTTTTCAGTAAAATGTCTTTGTAATTGACTGACAATCCCATTCCTTCATCCAGTGTTTACATTTGTAGTGTCTGCTACAATCATCTTTGTACTCTTCTATAAATTTTTTTTATTGAGAGTAGCTGTATACCTTCAACAACAGTAACTGCTTTTCTGTCTGGCAGAGTGCTTGTAACTTGACTTCTCTTTGTTTATTCTTCAACACTTGATGATCTTGGTGACTAAAATGTTTACCATCAAAGTGCAGTGAGCTTTCTAAATCTTTCTCGACCTCTAAGAGAATTTCTATATATTTTCTTAATTTCTTCTTTAGTTTAACAACCTTTAGTTGATCTGAATATACCAGGTTGTAAAGGTATCTAAATGTTAATCCCACCTTAAGATAACTGTTAATAAATGGTTGCTGCTTTGCTGGTTGATAACTTTGAAAATGTTACTAATTTGGTTGCAGTTTTTGTTTTATTGTAGTTCTTGCTTGTACTTGTGGACTATTCTTCTGAATCTTCAGACTTTATTCAATGCATTATTAGATGACGTTGAAAAAAGCGAAGTAACATAATGACTTCCTTATTATTTGATAATAAAAATTTGCCTAAAATCAACCTTTTATTAAGAAACTTATAAAGATTATAAAATAGTTGCATTTTTAATGGTATTTTTTTATGATTTATTTTGTAACAGTTTTATTTTATGCCTGATCACGATCAATTTTATTCAGATCTAATTGCAACAAAAAATTAAGAAAATATCAGGCTACTGTTATTTATGTTTTATATGGAATGATCTATGGAATGGATAAATATGGAATAATCTTAAAAAATATTTTAATCAAGTTATTTTGATTTCCCATATTAAAAGTTTGAGTTAACCATAAGAATTTGCTAAAAGGGATTCAAACCTCAGATAACTTTAACAAACTACAAGTTGTCTGAGGTTCGATTTGAGCGGAGCATTTTAATAGTAATCAAATTTAAAATTTATTTTTTAAATTCTAAATTTAAATTTTTTTTTCAAATTTCAAGTTCTAAAACAAATTCCAATTTTAACTAATAGCAGGCTAAAACAAAACTTCTCTAATGAAGATGTATTAAATTTATCTAAACGTATTTTTGAAGATGCTCTCAAAAAAAGTAGGTTTTCAAAATTTTGAACTAAAATGTGTGACCCAGAAAAAAAGAATACAAAAAGTGAAATAGAACTAGAAATGTAATTTGGTTCAACCCCTCATATAGCAAAAATGTTTCCACTAACATAGGAAAAGTGTTTTTTAAATTATTCAATAAGTATTTGCCATCCTCTAATAAATAACATAAAACTTTTAATTGGAATATAATTAAAGTTAGCATCAGTTGCACAAAAAATATTAAAAGAATTTTAAAAGGTCACAATAATGCTTTGTTATACAAAACAAAAAATCTTAAATAAAAAAACAACAGAAAATTGTAATTGTACACTAAAAAACAATTATCCAATGAGCTGTTTATTAAAAAATTGTGGTATATAAATATGTTGTTTCCTCTAAAAATGTACCTTATTAACAATACATAGGCTTGACTGAGGTTGAATGAAAAAAACATTTTGCCCATCATAAGCAATCATTTAAAAACAAAAAGTATTCAAGACACCATGCTTTCAAAATGATGATGATTTATACTGAATTGGTTCATCCTTAAAACAGCACCAGCATATAAAAATATCTCCAAAAAATGAATACAATGCCTACAAGAAAAATTTGAAATAATTACACATGTGAACCAAGAAGGTTTATTAAACAAAATATCAGAGCTGATTTCTAAATGCAAGCACGAAAATAAATTTCTCCTAAAAAACTTATAACAATAAGTGAGCTCAAATAATAATTACATTTAATAAAAAAAGCAGAAGTAATCAATTCTAAAGATTTCTTTTTATGATAGTGTCATCATATTTCACAAAATGAGTGAAAGTTTACTGTAGTTAAGACATTCTGTAATTTAATTTTTGATATAAATTGTTAAATAAAAAAATTTTTGTTTAGTGATTTTCTACTTATTTTTTTAGTTTTTATTTAGAAAATTTGTTATATTAAACATTAATTAGTATTTAAAAAAACTACTTTAATTAAAGCAACAATATAATTAAAGCATATATAAACAACTGCTCATACATTTGACCTACAACATTAAAAAAATTTTTTAAATTAGAAAATCTAACGTTCATTACAGCTCATTTCTTTCATTTTCAAATGTCTGGTCACCTGCTTTGATTCTTCTCAACAACTTACCAAACATTTTGATAATACTCTTCACCCTTGGCTGTAGCTAAGAAGTCAGAGCTGAGCTTAATCCCTATCTCTCCAATGTCATTTACCACATTCAATGTTTGAATGTTGATCATCGAAATCTGATAAAAAGAAAAATTTGGTCAGTTTGCAACTTTCTTGGTCAGAAACTCTTGATTGAGATGCAGGCTGTGAAACATGAACCATGGGTCAATTCCCAAAAGATTAGCAAGTGTTGTTTATAATGTAATTGGCTTAGGAAAATTAGGCTTCCCAAATCCTGTTTAGTGCTCCAAAGTGCTAGTGGCACCATTTCTTCAGTTAAGTACCACAGGTGAACTAAATACTCTCAACATACTTTTTGCAATCTTGAGGTGTAATTCTGCATACATTAACACAGATTGGAAAAACATAAGATCATTCCATGGCGCATCTGTAGCAGAACTACACGACATCAACCAGACACTAGGGTAGCAAAGTTGGCGAAGTCTCTCACTTTGGTAGTCTGTGCTTTTGTAGTTATTATGCCAAGTGGAAGATCACAAATCTGATCTTCCAATAGGCAAATTTTAATTAAGTGGATCAATTTTGCCATCCATCTAGCTTTATGTACATGTCCTTTTTTTTCACAATACATAATTTGACGAATTTCTGATAATTGTCTAAATGATAATCTAGTTCAGATTAGCAAGCTTCATATCATCTTCTCTGCAATAATCAAAGTATGTTTTAGCACTTTCACTGAAGGAGGTGGACTTAAATCTTGACAATCAATCATCTGGGTGCAATTGAAGCAGCGTAAAGTGTTTATTTTTTTCAAGTTTTTAGCATGGTGACAACAAGCATTCCAAAGAAGACATCGACCCAAGTGTTGCTGAATGGTCACACAGACATGCCCTATGTTTGATGCACTTGTGCCAAATGCCATGCTGGCGATAGAGTTGTTGCAGTTCCATGACTTCAACAGGTGACTGTCAAATCTGTGAAGATATTACCTGATTTTCTATTAGTACCTGGTTCATATGCTGGAACGCCAAATAGCTTAACTTCATTAGCAG